CCCTTCCCCTCCTCTCCCCTCCTCTCCCCTCCTCTCCCCTCCTCTCCCCTCCTCCTTCTTGCTCATGTAACTCAAATGGCTGAAGAGATTTTCTTCAAAGGCTCCAAAACAGCCAGGGTCTAGTGGAAAAAAATAAGGTTCTAGAGATTTAGCTCAGAAGGGAGCCTGGGAAATTAAAAAAACCTTGTAAATTGGGGTCTAAGAGGCTGCCTGTTAATTACGTACTCTCTCAGAGTGAAGCTGGTGGAGCTGCTGGAAGAGACGGTGAGTGGTACCTCTGCTCCCAGCAACGTCCCAGGAGGGATGTGGTGGGAGATGTTGGATGCTGGGTGTGGGGACTGTGACCCTCCTCCCCACCTCTGCCCCACGGGGAGGCCTGTGCCAGGCCAGGCTGGGCAGCATCTGGCTGAAGGTCACACACTCTGCCATGGTGAAGAGTCATCATCCCATGATAATTAACCCATGCAGTTCAGAGACCCATCTGGTCTCATTAATTAACGAACTCATGGGAACCAAAGGGCTGTCACAGTGGTTGCAACTTCAGGCACTAGAGAATTTAGCATCTTGGGTTGCGAAACACAACAAAGCGGAGTTCATTTCCAGGCTTTGGAGATATGATGTCCTCTGCTTCACACCTTGGGCACAGCTCCCCTCTCTGCAAGGCCCCTCCATCCCTGGAAAGGATGGAAAACAGGTGATCCCACCCCCTCTGGTCTTTGGAAAGCCTTGACAGCACCCATGGGCACCCACATCAAGCTCCAGCAGCCTCATCCACCTCCGTAATGGGAGATGCTTTCTTTGGACTTGAGAATAGGACATGTCCAAGGGACACTTGTGCTCCAGCCTGGATGTTTCAACACTTCATTGCTTTTCTTCAAACAAAAAGCAAGAAAAGGCAGGCAGGTGATCTTCCCACTGAATCACATGGATGCAGGGATGGAGGCATCCAGAAAACCTCAGGATACCAGGAGACACACACTCAGATCACAGGCCTTGACAACAGGAGTTGTTTGACAACATTTTCCAGCAGCTCTTGATTCCCAAGGGGCAGGTCAGCAACTTCAGATGGTCTATTTGGAAGAGAGGACATCTAGAGAGCAACCCAAAATGGGTATTTCTCCACCACAGAATCAATGTATCTCGGAAGGCCATGTCTACATGCCACCCTGGTGGCCCATCCTCAGCCAAGGGTGACAGAGCAGCAGCATTGAGGACCATGAGATGGGTTCCAGATGACTCATAGGGATCCAGAGGACACCCTGCCCAGAGGGCACTTTGCCCTCAGTGGATCAGGTACCTGGGAAGTGGCCAGAGCAGATGTGGCAGTGTCCCTGTGCCCTTGCAGGTAACCCCATGAGTGCAGCCTTGCAGATGACGGCGTTTGGTCTTGCTCTTCTCTCAACCCTCTTCCTGCTCCTGGCCACGTGCACCGACTGCTGGATGGTGAACGCTGACGACAGCTTGGAGGTGAGCAGAGCAACCAGCTTCAAGGTTAGGATAAAGTGGGTGCCTTGACATCCATGGGGTTGCACCATGTCTCCACGGGCTTGGAAAGGGGACATATGGTGGGACAAGCCCACTGCTTTCTGCATGAGTTGGAGGACTGGAGGATTAGAGAGATAAGGAAATGCTGGGGCAGAAGGAGGAGACAGAGAACAGGGTATGGGTGGGGAGTCACCAGGACATGTCCAGCTGTGGTGATGAGAGCCTGAAGATCTGCCTGGCTGGGCTGGGGTAACCCTGGGGACCTGGGGTGCTTTTTTGGTGCTTTTTGCTCAGGTGTCTGTCTCCTGCTTCCAGGTGAGTCACAAATGCCGGGGGCTTTGGAGGGAGTGTGTCACCAACATGCAGGACGGGGTCAGGACCTGTGACCAGTATGACTCCATTTTGGCTGACCACCCAGGTAAGCTGGCATGGCCTGGAGGCATTTTTTTAGGTTCACAGCTGAGAGCTGTCCCTCTTCCCTTTCCGAGAAGATGATCCTGGTTGTAAAGAGCTAACCCTCCTCAGTCAGCAAAGCAGGCCCAGGGCTTCTCTCGGTCTCCTGCCTCATCAGCACAGCCTTGACAGCCACCCATGGTCCAGTCATCTCTGCCGTGGGGTCACCAAGCAGGAGAGAGGCCATGAAGCTGTGCAACCTCACAACAAACGTGTTTTGGGACACAGAGCACAGCTCCTGTCCCCCTTGCACAGTGGGAACTGCCACCCCACTGATGCTGCATGTAGGATTGAGGACCATTCCCACTGGCCAAGGACTTGCATCCTCAGCTCACGGACAGTCATACTGTGGCATGGAGACTTCTCCTGGCCTGCACAGGGCACATCTCCTGCACAGGAGAACCCTTGGGTAGGGTGATGACACAGGACAACACAGAGTCAGGCAGTGGAGAAGGGAACAAGAACTCAGCATGGACTAAGTGTAGAAAGGGCTGTCAAGCCCTGGAAGAGGGCAGTGGGCAGTGCCCAGTGGAGTCACTATCCCTGGAGGGATTTAAAAGCCGGGCAGATGTGCTGTTGAGGAACACGGGTCAGTGGTGGGTTTGTCAGTGCTGGGTTGATGGTTGGACTCAATGATTTGAAAGGTCCCGTTGTGCTGCTCTGGGGAACAAGCTCTGCAGGGAGCAGTCCCAGGGCACAGCTGGTGACATGAACCCGGCCAGCTCTTGTATTTTTCCTCGCTGAGTCAAAACTTGCTGTTCAAACCACCAGGCACACAACCTGGAGGGAAAAGCAGACAGTCTGGGCAGCAGCATCTTCTGTCCAAGGCTGTGCAAAAAGGTCTCCAGTAGGTGATCACATCCCAGGTGCTGACTGATGCATCTTAAGTTGTTTGGTTTTCTGAGCTGGTCAAATAACAAACTTATTGATTCAGATGAGGCTGGTGAGCACCCTGCAGGCAGGGGGTTGGTGGCTCCCAGTGTAGACATCTCCTATGGACATGCCAACTGGTGGCCTGGATGACTCCAGCAGGGACACAGGCAGCTGACTGATGCATCTTAAGTTGTTTGGTTTTCTGAGCTGGTCAAATAACAAACTTATTGATTCAGATGAGGCTGGTGAGCACCCTGCAGGCAGGGGGTTGGTGGCTCCCAGTGTAGACATCTCCTATGGACATGCCAACTGGTGGCCTGGATGACTCCAGCAGGGACACAGGCAGCAATCTGGAGTGGGGAGACCAGTTCCTCTGACCATTCCTCAGTCCCCTTTCTGTTTGTTTTTTTTTTCCCCCTTCCCTGCCCAGTGAAGATCGTGGTGACACGGACGCTGCTGATCACCACAGACCTCCTGGCTGGCCTGGCTTTGGCTACGTTGCTGCTTGGACTGGACTGCATCAAGTTCCTCAAGGAAGAGCCCCGTGTCAAACTGAAGATGTGCTACGGGGCCGGTGTCATCCTCGGTGTTGGGGGTGTGTGTCTGGGAGAGCTCAGGGGGCAGATGGACCTTGTGCCCCGCAGGGAATGGGGGGATTCCAGGATCTCAGGGCACCCCCACAGAGGAGTCTTGAGGACCATCAGGGGGGGCATATGGTTCTTTCTTCACCAGACTTGTTCCTCCTAGGCATCCTGGGTCTTGTGGGCTCCGTGTGGTACGCGGTGGACGTCTACGTGGAGAGGGCCATGCTGGTGTCGCACAACATCTTCCTGGGAGTCCACTACGACTTTGGGTGGTCGTGCTGGCTGGGCATGGCTGGCTCAACGGGCTGCTTTGTGGCATCCATCCTGCTGACCTGCTGCCTCTACGCCTGCACAGGTCAGTCTGCCCCATCCCACCCCACCCCAATCCCACCTCCTGTAGCTTTTTGCCCCTCAGGGACGTACGTCATGTGAAGGAGCAGCTCAGAGGGTGCAGGAACTTCGCACGGGGTCCAACCAAACCAAGGGGAACCCCTTTCTGTCCGGCCTGTGCACCGTGGGGGGGAGGCTGGGTCATGCCCGGCCGGACCGGGCTGAGTGAGGACCCCGTAAGCCCAGTCAGGGCACAGAGACGGTGCCAAAAGGCTCCATCCACATCTGTGGGACCTCAGGGTCCTGGTGAAGGTGTGTTGATGTCTACCCAAAGCAGTGGCCATGCTGGAGCTGTACCGCTGTGACCAACCAAAGCCTGAACCGGTGGCCACAAGGATGTGCCGGTGGAAATCTTGGCCGTTCCACCACCAGGGCAGGTGATGCCTCACCAAGTGTCATCTCCAGCCTTTATGCCTGGTCCCACGGGGTGGAAGTCCACCCCACAGCACCGGCTGTCCGGGTTCCACTTCTCCTGCCGTGTCACCCTCCTTACCCCCCCGCTATCCCTGGCCATGACCCAACACCAGCTCTTTCCTGGCAGACACCAGTGGCCACTGGCAACCCCAGAGGCTTCCCCAGCCCCGGGGCCGAACGGCCACCAGCAAGATGTACGCCATGGACTCCCGCGTGTGACGGGCACCAGCACCTCCTGCACCCAACCCGCTGTGGCACGTGACTTTTTCCCCCAGTCTGACCCCATTAAAGCACCATCACCTGTACTGGGGGCATCTCCACCATTGCTTTATGGCTCTGGCCACAGGGTCCCACTGAGCTGCGGCATCAGCAGCTGCAAAAAAAGTGAAGTTCTGCAGAAGTCACCGCCCGAGAAGGGGGTTTTCCCCACTTCCAGCCCGTTCTCATGAAAATAAGCCCCAGAAAAGTGTTGCTCTAAGAAAAGGTGCCCCCAAGGCCCCTGTTGGGACACCAGGGCAAAAGAGCTCCCCCGACACGAGTGCTCTGCAGCTCAGTGGAAGGCAGTTGTGCTCAGGGCAACACTGACTCCTCGTGGCTGGTGGCCCCGGTCACCCCGGCACCCGCTGGAAACCACCCGACCCCGGGCTCAGAAAGGTGACAACAGGGGGTCTGCATTTAAAAACGGGGTAAAGCCTGTAACCCAGAGCATTTCTGGTCATCACGGGGTCATCGGGGGAGGAACGGTGCAGCCCTACACGTCAGGAACCAGGAGGTGGGTCAGCCTGAAGCCTGAAAGAGGTGCTTCAGCTGCAGAGTTCATAGAATCACAGAATGGTTTGGGTTGGAAGGGGCCTTAAAGCCCCCCCAGTGCCACCCCCTGCCCTGGGCAGGGACACCTCCCACCACACCAGGTCCCTCCAAGCCCCCTCCAACCTGCCCTTGAACCCCTCCAGGGATGGGGCAGCCACAGCTTCTCTGGCCAACCTGGGCCAGGCTCTCACCACCCTCACACCAAACAAGTTCTCCCTGAGATCTAAGTTAGATTTTTAATTCCACAAGAAAAGGGGACTCTCCCAAGCGAATTATCTTCTTCACTTCAAACCATCATGAACACGAACCACAACCCCAAGCCACCACCAACTCCCCCCCAAACGCCAAATGTTGGGGTTTTTTCCTTATTCCCTCATTTTCGACCCAGCGGGGACACTGGGAAGAGCCCCCCACCATGGGCTGTGACCCCAAAAGGCAGCAGAGCGAGCCCCAACCTGAGCAGCCACCGGGCTCCGGAGTCCCTGGCAGGGAGAGGCGCAGAGGAGCGGGGCAGGGGCCCTGTGGCAGCCTGGGGACACCCCCACCCCAGATGGTCCCCCCGAGGACATAACTTCTGGTCTCACACAAAGCCAAAAGGCACCAAAACTGGTGCTTGATTGTAACTTTGGGTGCAAGGCAGAACCACTGGGTCCTGCAGCACCGGCACCACACAGCATGGACTAGTTCATTAAATTATTAAAAGTTTCTTTGAAAGGCTATTAATTCCCCCCCAGGGAGCCCACACCCGGAGGACAAGCCCTGTGGAAGGTATTTAGTGAGAAAAACCCGAGCGCCCTGTGCATTTAAGGGCTGGCACTTGAGGACACGAAGGAACAATTAAGAGCAGTATTTGGGTGACGCAGGCGCGGGGCTCGTTAGGGCACAGACGGGAGCTCTCAAGAGCTGCCAGAAGATATTCCCCCCTCCCCCGGGGTGTTCCTGGGTGGCAGTCACCTTCGTTAGCGGTCATTTATAATGAGTGTTATTAGAGCAGTGCCCCCAGTGCCCGCCAGGCCCACGCTGGGGGGGGCTTTTCCTGCAACCGTGAGATGTGTCACCCCCTGACAGGGCTCCAGGCTCCCCAACCCGCCCCAGAGGGAGCCCAGCCCCACAGCCCCGCCAGGCCCACGCTGGGGGGGGCTTTTCCTGCAACCGTGAGATGTGTCACCCCCTGACAGGGCTCCAGGCTCCCCAACCTGCCCCAGAGGGAGCCCAGCCCCAACCCTTTGCCCAAGAAATAAATCAAGTCACTTTTTCTCCCCCAAAAAACCCTTTTAGGAACATTTAACTTAAACCCTTTCATCCCACAGCGGCTTTAAAACAACCAAAACACGCGAGGTAATTCTTTAAGACCTTTATTAACAGATGCTTGCAGTTTGACTTGAAAAAATCAGGTGTATATTTCATACAAATTAAAAATGAGGTTCTTAAAAATCTCAACTTGACCAGATATGAAACAATTTAAAAACCTTTAAAGGTATATTGAGAAAAAACAGGCTTTTAAAAAACGTGTTTATCGTTTCCAAAAGGAGACTTCTTTAGGTAAAAATAATAAAAACCCCATGCTGCATAGATAATGCAGATAGTTCTAGTAATCTGGTCAACAGCAAAAAGCAAGCACTTAAGGTCTTCAGTTCCAATTCTTTTGTTCATTTCTTATTGCTGGAATTTCATTTTCTTTTCTTCTTCATTTCTTAAGTCTTTTCTTTGATGACTAAACTGAAAGAGAGAAAAACAGGAAAAAGGGATGATCAGGCAGGTGTGGGAGGGTTTCACGGGTGTTTGGGCTGTGGAGACCCCACACCAACTCACTGGTTCTCACCAAGGAGACCTTCGCACCCCCAGAAACCCTCAGCAGCTACAGCCCCTCCACCAGCCCCACTGTGCTCCTGCCATCCGCCAAAACCCCCACCTTCCACCCAAAACAAATGCAAACAGCTCCAGAAAGATAGATTTAAACCCAAAGGAATCCTGCCTACACCCCTCCCTGCACTGGCCTCTGCTTTGTGCCCGGATCCTGGGGAGGGCAGCCCAGGTGGGGCTGAGAGGTCACCTCCACAAATGCAGGGGGCAAACCCCGAGCTGAGCTGGGGAGGCACGAGGACAACTCAAGATCTTCAGGAGATGGTCGAGAGCAAATCTCTACCTGTGGCTTCAGTAACCACTGCCCAGACCACAGGAACCACTATTTATACTCTCCAGTACTACCAACAGACAGAAAAAGCAACCAAGCCTCATCTCGGTGTTTCTCCGAAGCCCACAATATTAAGAATTTATCCAGTTTGTGTTAACCCTTAGAATGAACACTGGGATAAAAAAAAAGGTTTGCATCCAGCGCCCAGAAAATGCTGAGGATTGAAGGAACCCACCCGCACCACAGAGCCAGCAGGTCCCAGTCCCCCTGAGCTCCCTCAGCCGGGACAGCCCTGTGGCTGCTGCCACTCTCCGTGCCCAGCTCCATCATTCCCCTTCAGCCCGTTCTCAGGACTGTTCCTCACCGCTCCCTCCAGAGCCTGACCGAGTCTCTCCCCCTGCCTGCCCTCCCAGCGAGGCACAGAGGGAATGGGACAGGAATGCTGGCCAGAGGGGAGATACAGACATGGAAGGTGCCCGAAAAAAAAAAAGGAGAACAAGGGGGAAGAGTCCTACCAGGGAAAATATCCCCAAATTAACAGAACTGTCCATCAGAGACAGCCTCACCAGCACCACATCACAGCCAGTCAGTCACACCTTGCAAAACAGTGTTTTAACACTGACTCTCACACAGCCCTGTCAAGTGGCAACACCCTCCCAGCACCTTCACCCCCAGGAACCCTGTGCTCCATGAGAAGGGCCGTCCCCACCAGCCTCTCCAGCACTTTGGTTAGATAAAAAGTGGCTATTGAGACGCTCCTGCAAACTCTGCGCCAACTTTCTAGAAATTAATGCCTTGAGGTCTTAATGCTCCTCACTGTCCCCAGCCCGACACCGAGCAGTGACAGCTCAGACACAGCCGGGAACACCCCAGTACCTCTTTCTCCTGGCTACTTTCCACTCACCATTCCAGCACCTCTGGAATTGCTATTTCTGGGTGGACAAAGCCTGAACTACTGGATACAGCCAAGATTTTCAGATTCACAGTATTCTAAGGCACCGACTCCACCAATGAAAATAAAGGCCTAGTAATTAAGCCCTCCCAATTAATCAGCATTTTTAGAGCGAAGCCTAGTGACCGCGCTCACACATGCACAACACACACAAGCAAGAAGAGCGCAGGAGCTTTTAAGGCAAAAATTCAAGGAAAAGTGTCAAGAGAGAAGAGAAGTGGGACACGACAGGGTACCCCGCGAAGGCCCGGCCACGCACCCGGATGATGGTAGAGATGTTAAGCCGGTGTTTACTCAGCCCCGCCCTGCTCGGCCTCGGGAGCGGACGTGTTCTCAGCTGGTGGATCGGCTGTCTTCGTCTCTTTGCCATCTTGTGGTTTAGGGTTCTCTGGGCGTCTGCGTCGGTAGTTGAAGTTACGACGGTACCGACGTTGAGGTGGCTGCTGACTTTGGGTCTCGTCCCCTTGGTTCTCTTTATCTTCTTCATTCCCATCCTCTCTCGGCTGTCTTTGACGAGGAGGACCCCTGAAAGTCAAGCTAGGCTTTAACAATGCAGCATCTGACCATCGCCATGTTCTGTCTCTGTCGCTAAAAGGCAAGGTTAAAGAAAACAAAGTTGATCTGCAGCATACCTGCGAAACCGTGGTCTATACCCTCGATACATGTTCTGCCTGACTGGTCTGCCTTGATCTCCTGCACCCTGGCTGTCAGCACCCTGCAAGACATCAGGCAACAAACCACCGTAGCCACATGCAAAGCCCAGTAACACCCAACTCGTCAAACCGTGAGGAAGATGGCCGGACAGGGGCTGTTGAAATTAAATCTGAGGCACACAACAAGGCGGGCAGCGCTCCTAGGGCACACGAGTATGCACTGTCACAATTTGTGTTTCTTCCAGATAACCATGTAGGAAGTCAATGCAAATCCAAAGACACTCCATTTTTTAAAAGCCGAAACACAAGATCCTCAGTTTCTGTTTTATCCAATGTTTTTCTGCCAAACCTTACCAAAACCATCTTGAGTATCTACAAGCAGCAGCGAAAAGCCGTGCCCCGTCACCCTGCTCCAAAGCAACCGAGCCAGTTGAGCAAAACACATTACCTCCACTATCTCTCCCTGCACGGGAGGGTTGGAATATTGTGGTCGACGCCCGTAGGGCCTACGCATATAGTAAGGTGGGTACCGCCGCCTGCGGTAGGGACGGCGTTGCTGGGCTTGGCCTTCTGGGATGTTCTCTGCTCCTTCGTTCTTTTCCCCACTCTCACTATTCTGGTAGTTTTGCTGGTAGTTGCGTGGAGGACCCCTACGACGTGGATATCGTCTGTAATGGTTACGGTCTGCTGCGTATTTACTGCCTTGCACTGGGACGCCACCAGGACCTGTCACATTAGCTGCCTCCGCGCCCTAAAGAGCGGGGACAGCGTTAGGGAACACACTCAGCATCACATCACTTTACAGCAGAATATAATTCAGCACCGAGCGACGATTTACATCCACATTGTAAAGCAATGAAAAGCCATTCATCTCCCTGGATGCCATCAGGCATCACTCAAACCGCAGGCCCCACACCAAAGCCTGCAGACCAGTTTTTCCGCGCGCACTCTAACACCCGAGAGACAGGTTTTACCTTTTCTCCCTCAACCACATCAAACTCCACGGTCTCTCCATCTCCCACGCTGCGGAGGTACTTCCTGGGGTTATTCTTCTTTATGGCAGTCTAACAACATAACAGCACAGAATTACATTTACAGGCACAGCACAAGAACACTGCTTAGCATATCTGAAGACCTTTCTTTTTTTTTTTTTTTTAAAGAAAAGATTAAGGAATTTGAATGTTTAATATCTTAGGAGGAAGACCTATACTCCTGAAAAAGCAATTAAATAACTGGAAATCCAGGAAGTTATAAAATTTACCTTTATTACTGTACTTCTGGCCTATATGACACATGCAACAGCTTTACCATTGAACACACCTGCCAACATGCTGCCTGACACCTGAAAAAGCAGTTTGAAAACAAACACACACTCCCCAACCCTGAAATGCACACTGGCCCTAGCACTCCTAACCAGAATTTAGCATTAAACACCCCCATAGTATTTATACACTCCTCTGAAGCACACAGACCTCTATATAAGCCTTTCCAGCCACACACTCAGATTCCCAGCCCTCTGCCATTCCCAGATCACACAGAATCAGAGCTGTCTGGGTTGGAAGGGACCTTTAAGATCATCTAGTCCAACCATCACTAAGCCCTGTGTAGCCTGCATGTCCCATGCTATGTAGACACATCAATGGCCAGAAATTAAGATATTTCCTTCTCTGAGGCTTTCAATATCATTGCTTCAGCCATAATATTTACCAATTAATCACAAATCTACTCTGTGTATTAGTCACCAAGCAGTAGCCCTTCCAAGGTGTCAGCACCAGACGAGCCTTTGTACTGGTATCTGCACGTTACACGCCGTTACCAGAAAGCACTGAATTTTCTGTGCTATTCAGCAGAGGATTAATTTTCTGACAGATGAGTTAATACTCAACGTGCACTGTTCTCAGCCACATCCTGCTTATCAAACACTAAGTGAACAATGTAACGAGAGTAACAAATTTACAAAAATTACCAGCAACAGAATTTGACTAGGTTTTTCTCTCCAAATGGAACAAAATCTATGGAAAAACATGCCCCAAGTCTGAGCCTATAAAGCAGTGACTTTAGGAAAAGCCTTAATATGAAGAGCTGTGAGGCTCACAGCTCTTCACGAGAGCCAAGCTTGATAATGGGAACGGGAAAAAGCGCACACAGCTGTACTCATAAAACAAGCTGGTTTCTTTCAGATTATACCCCTAAACCCATTTTATCATGAGAATTATCACATGAAAACAAATCACTGCTTTTAGAAACACAGACAGTAGTTACATGACAAGTCCTGAAATGCGACATTAATTCAAGGTCACTTACAGGTTACCCTACGTGCAAACCAAGTAATGAAGTCAGAAAGCCTTCCTTCAGGGTATATACTCCTGCCTCGGTACACGGAAACACAGCGGAGTCACTTGGCCTCTCTCCACTGCCCATTACAGAACAACCTTTTATAAATAAATGCCTCCACATTTTAATAGCAGGCAATTCAGACAGAGCACAACCAAGAAGCTGAAGGCTGGCAAATGAAACTCAAGTCAAAACTCTTTCCAGGGGTTACTTTTCCTCTCTTTGTTTACACCACCAGCGGTATATCCCTAACGCGAAACAAAAGAACAGTCCAGGGACTCCTAAATGCCAGACATAAACCACGCTCCACTAAGAACTCTTTGTGGGCTGCTTCACAAGAGATCCTGAGACAGGGTGAAAAAACCTACAGAGTTGATCATCACGAACTCTTTGTGGGCTGCTTCACAAGAGATCCCGAGACAGGGTGAAAAACCTACAGAGCTGATCATCACAACTCACAAGTCAGACACCAAAGACTAATCTCAGGCCAACCTGCCCCATGAAAGGAGGCCCAGGTGTGGTGCACGGCCTCACTCTGCTCTACTTTCCAGAGGTTTACATGCTCCCTGGAAATTATACTTAAGTGTATGTCTCTGTCATCTCTGTTTAATTGAAAAAGTACCTATTAAAATGTTTTCAGGTTTTGATTGAAAGCCTGGAGCAACACATTCTACGGAAGTTTTGCCTAGAAAAAAAAAATTCTTCACTGGCACTTTATCCCCATTACAGCCCAATTAATTTCTCTCCCTGCTGCAAGCTTTTCATTTAACCTTATTTCCATATGCTTACAGAGTACTACACGAATCCACAAGGCAACTGGCTTCAAACAGTTATCCCCAAGTCAGACTGAACCTGCAGACACCGCAGTTTTTATCACTGTACGGTACCAGCCTGCTCAACCCCAGGGATCTCATGTCCTCCTGACGGATGGACGTGGATACACAAAACCCCCAGCCACAAGCAGGCTCTACCTGCAATCCAGCAGTGAGAAACAGTTCCTGGTGTTCAAACAACAGTTCTTGGAAAATGTGAAGCTCTCTCACAACTCCAATCCTACTTACATAGGCCGTGCATAGCAAGTTTCAGAGAGGTAGCCTGTTCCAGTTTCAAGGAAGTCTTACCTGATGGACAAACACATCTTCCTTGGTGTCATTCCTGCAGGACAACAGAAAATTGAAATTGATGTATGAAACACACACGAAATTAGCCCAGTTTACAAATTCAATTGTTTGGGGTGGGGATGAAACAGGAAACTGTCAAGACAACTAACTAGCTTCCAGCATCAGCCTTGCTCCTCAACCTGCTCTCAACTAGCCCCCTACCAGCTTCCTGCCTGCAGTGAGGGGACTGTCAGGTCACCTACACAAGGTTCAGACCCCAGTAAATCGCATGTGAAAGCGTTCTTTCTCCCTTTTGCACACCCCTCTATCCTTCACATCCCACTGAGGGAGACACTGGAAGAAGAACAAACACCTGACAGCGAGCGGTCCATCATTTGTGGCAGTGCCCTGTGCAGGAGATCAGCTATTGCAATCTTTGAAACAGGCGATGATGGTATCACCACTGGGGCCTCAGCATCTCTCCAGAGCTACATCCTCTCAGCCTGGATGCTTCCTTCACCAAAGGAGTAACACCACCACCTGGCTACTGAGGTCAAGCTGCGTTTGTGAGCACAGAGAGGGAAGAGCTGGGGTTTCTCCCCTCACAAGAAACTAAAAGAAGCTCAGGTCTGCACCAACAAGGAGCCAAAATCATCCTTCAGTGTGAGCAGGGTCCGGTTTCCACCGTTACCAGCTAAGGCTGGGCAACCACAACACGGTACCGAGTCAGGAGAGTTTCTGTTCTGTAATTAAGAGGCAGAGCTGAAACAGCCCCTCTGCTGTTTCCCCCACTCATACCAAACTCACGGCCGTGCGTTCAGGCTCCCATCGTACCCACTGCGCCTCGCTGCACTGTTAGTTTCATTGGTCTGGGGAACGGTTTGAATCAATAGCAAAGCAGCTTTTATTTCCTAGAATGACTGGTTAAGGACATCGCAAAGCAAGCTTGCGTTAAAATGTGCTCAAAATTGGAGAGCATACAGGTATGGGAGACAGAATCCACAATTTATTTATTTTAATGATAAGCTAGGTGCTCCTCACCATTGGCTTTAAAACATGAGGATGAAAATAAAGACTTTTTGAAAAACCTCAAGCCAAGCTATGGCTAATTAGCACCTCACCTTGTTCCCTCCTGGAATTGATGCCTACAAGTCTCAAAGGTTACTGGAAAAAGGTAGTCAAAAGGCAACAAATGAAGCAGAGCCAGTCTCATCACCATGAGGCAGCTTATCTCTAAGGGCCCAGGATGCTGCATCCAGAAGCCCTTGCAAAGCCTGAGCCTAAAGACTTTCATCTTTGCAATGCAAGATCTCCCACCAGATGCTCCAAAATCTGAAAACCTTCAGGAGAGCCCAGTAACAGGTTTTCAGCTAAGAAAAAACAAAAAAAAAAAACAAACAAAAAACCCCACCAAACTAGAAACGCTTAGCACATTCCTTCACTCTCAACTGAAAAATGGTGGTGGGAAGTGCTCATTACCTGTGCACATGCTCTAAGCTCTTGCCCAGGTTTGATTTTGGACAACCCCACCAGATGCCTGTTTTTAAAGTTATTTTGAAAATGTAATTTCCATTTAAGAGCACGCTCAAGTTTTACGTCAACAAATGGCTCAGTTAAAGCTCAAGATGTCTACATGGTTAGTTAAAAAAAAATAATAAAAATATCTACTGGTCAGTTTTGAAGCCCAGTGCCTGCCCTGTGATTCCTGATGGTGTTTTCCAGCAAGCGCACTGCCGCTTGGATGGTGCAACAGTCACAGCCACCACCTTCTCAAAGGACACTTGGAATGGTACAAGAGAAACCCCCATTCCGAGGTCCCAGCCCCTTAGCTCATCTTTGACCTGAGTGATTCTCCCCTCCACACCTTTAACACCACAATAAAAACAGGCACCAGGCAAGCATGTGGATTAAGAAAAGGCCGCTGTTGAGTCCAGCCGAGCTCTAAATACAAAGCCAGACATTGATGTGCAGCTCCAGTTCTGGTACGAGGACCAAGAGGATGTGGCCTGCACATCCATTTGTTATTTTGACAACTGTGAGAAAAAATGGACAGATGCTCAGAATTCCAACTAGCATTTCAGAACAGAAAGGCACTTTGAACATTAAAAGAACGTACAAAATACTTGAAGTTAACATGCACCTACATCAAAGCTACGTTTTTATTTCCAAAGCTAATTTTAGCTTCAAGCAGACCCGGCTGAAGCAAAGACAAGCAAGGGCAGCAGCACCCGCAAAGTTCCCCTCGCAGCGAGCCAGAGAGATTCCAGAGTTGAGGAAATGTCCTCCAGTCCGGTTCTCAGGCTGCGGCTCTAATCTCTTGATAACACAAGATCATGCTGGGTTTCTCATTAAAAATGGCAACCTCAGGGATTAAACAGCTGCCAAATTAATGACTGGGGAAGCCATTCGGATGTCTTAACTAGCTGCTCCTGCTTCCGTGCTTGACTCACATCACTGAGCATTTCCACTACTGAGGGAAACAGGAAAAAAGCCTTCCCTAGAGGTAGACTTTGCGGCCTATGACTTTATACGCGTTCACAGAAGCCAAAGACGCTAAAGCTTACACCACCGACAACTGTACGACATTGCACATTAAAACCTCCATGGAGAATGCCAACTGGGCAGACTCAGAGTCAAGTTTTTAAAGTTGCAGGCACAAAACCAATTAAGGAGCTTGGCAAACACTTAAGACTGGGTCAGAAGGTAACAGACAGTTAAAAAAAAAAAATGCCATATTTAAAACAAACCTAAATAAAAGGCCCAATAAAAGCATCACTATCGACACTTGCTGCCCTGAAGAGGGGTTCCCAAGTCTTCTACAATTCTGAAACTCGGGGTTTGAGGTACAAGATGTTTTGGGGGGGGTGGGGTGTGACGGTCAGTCTGGAAAATAACCCACAGGGAGGCCCCCCTAAACTGACAGGCACCACTGACAGCATTTCATTTTTCCAGAATGGTCTGCAGAGCAATTCCAGGACTCCTCCGCTGCCAGGTAACTTCCCTGATATGCCTATTTGATGTATTTACAAAACTCTTTAAGTGTTCCAATTTTCCTTTAAAATAAACTACTGTCATAAAAGTAATCTTTCAGGCATTTGTTTCTTGAGACCCCATTAAGCACTGCGGTCTTACAATATAAAAGAAATACGAATTTTGCTCATTTCCCCATACATTCAGGGTTTCCTCAAGAGAGTGTGCTTTTTAACTACCAAGTGCTCAAAGCCATTTTTGCTCACATTGACACGACTGAACATCATGCAGGGGTTTAAGCTAATATTTTGTTTGTGCTAACACCCAGCAGACTTTTATATACCATTAGGTGGAAAAAGAAAGCCAAAACCCTAAACAATCACTAAAAATATAATCCTAGCATAAGTAGTATCACCATGAAAATAAATTCACTGACAGCAAGGCCAAGACTCACAGAATGGTTTTGGTTGGAAGTGACCAGTCCCACCCCCTGCCCTGGGCAGGGACACTTCCCACCACACCAGGTCCCTCCAAGCCCCCTCCAACCTGCCCTTGAACCCCTCCAGGGATGGGGCAGCCACAGCTTCTCTGGGCAACCTGGGCCAGGCTCTCACCACCCTCACACCAAACAAGTTCTTCCCCACAGCTCAGCTCCATCTCCCCTCTTTCAGTGTCAAACCCTTCCCCCTCCTCCTCGGGCTCCCCTCCCTCATCAAGAGTCCCTCCCCAGCTTTCCTGGAGCCCCTTGAGGGACTGGAAGGGGCTCTGAGGTCTCCCCGGAGCCTTCTCTTCTCCAGGCTGAACCCCCCAACTCTCTCAGCCCCCCCTCCCAGCAGAGGGGCTCCAGCCCTCCCAGCACCTCCGGGGCCTCCTCTGGCCCCGCTCCAACAGCTCCTGAAGTCCTGATGTCGGTGGCCCCAGAGCTGGGGGCTTCAAGCACCGAAAGCCAACCCGAGGGGGTGGGAGATGGCGGGGTGGGCGTAGGAGCCACTCTACCGCGTTGCCCAAGCGGGGGTGACAGAGTGAGGGAGGCAGAAGCGTGTGTGTCCCCTTCCCTTCCCCACCCCCCGCAGCCCGCGTGGCCCAGGAGCACACTTGAACTCGGGTCCAACGTCTGCGCGGCCCGACCCCCCCTCCC